CAATTCTGGTTTCTTTTTTTTTCACTCCCCAATAAATCTTTTTTTCACTCTCTATAGTCTTTAGGTAATGTTATGAATTAAATTGTCTCCCCCTCAAAAAATTTTTTTGTAAGTTGAAGTTATAACTTCCATTACTTCGGAGTGTGAGATTATTAGAAAATAAGATGATTACAGATGTAATTAAGAAGATGAAGTCACACTGTAGAAGGGTGGGCCCTTCTCCAATGACTGATGTCCTTAAAAGAACATGAAATTTGGACACAGACACCCACACATGGAGAGCTCCGTGTGAAAATGAAGGCAGAGAACAGGGCGATGTTTCTGCAAGCCAGGAAAACCCAGGACTGCTGGAAAGGAAAGTCATGAAACTGATTCTCACACTCATCAGAAAGAATCAACCCTGTCAGTGATTTGGTCTTGGTCTTCTAGATGCCAGAATAAGAGAATAAATGTTTGTTGTTTAAGCCACCAAGTCTGTAGTACATTATTATAGTTGCCCTGCAAACTAACATGCATAATATGTCCGGGGTTTTTGAAGAGTGGTTGTATAAAAGCTTATTCCACCAAATCAGGAGTGAAATGATCTTACTTCCCTGATAACAAGTTCATATTCTCTCTATACCTCTAGGTTTCATAGCTGTAAAATAAAGATAATAATACCTCATAGCTTTTGTTATGGTTTGTGTTTAGATGTTCTGCCAAAGCCTCATGCAGATGAAGCGGGGCTTTCTTTTTCAGAAGTAGTTGAATCTGGAATGTGTGATGCTGAGATTAAGGATGTGTGATTACTAAACCACTACACATGAGTGATAGGTTTGGAACTGCCCTAATTCTGGTAGTCTGGATGGGATAAAAGAGGCAGAAAGATTGGATGAAGGGGCTCCCTTGTTGCCTTTGGTACCTTGTGTGCGCCATGTTGTTTCTCCTCTGTAACTGCTGTTTGCCATCCATGCCTTGGAGCCAGCTGATTATGGACAGAAACCTCTAAGAACTGTAAGCCAAATAAGCTCATTCCCCTTCAACTTTGGATGTCAGGTATTTTGTCTCAGTGATGAGAGAAAAGTAACTAACACAGCATTATTGGAAAGATTAAGTAAGCTGAGAGATATGTACATCCCTCAGAGAACAATCCCTGTAACACTGCACACTCCCAATCATTATTAGCTGTCCTTGTCCTTCACTCACCAAATAAGACAGATACAAACTTCTGATTCTATGAAGTGTACATTGCAGTGAGAGGATGTAGACAATAAATAAATTATGAAATACCTTGGCCAATAGCAAGTTCTGTGAAGAGAAAGAATGCAGAGATTGTGGACAGAGAGAGACACAGTTGGGCCAGGCAATTTTTAATAGAGTGGCCCAAGGAAGCATCATTGAAGGAAGGGATAGGAGTGTACCATGTGCATAACTGGAGAAAGAGTATTCCAAATTGCATCAGTTCCTTTTGTGTAACTGTGACAAAATACTTGTGGCTGGGTACTTTATGTAGCTCACAGTTTGGGAGGCTAAAAGTCCAAGATGAGAAGGCAGCAAGTTGGGCCTCGGGCGAGGGTACCTTTGACTAGGTCATAACAAGGTACAGAAGAGGTAAGGAAAACAACTGCAAGCAAGAGTCTAAGTACATGGAGGGGCCTCGCTTCTTAACAACATACTCTCCTGAAGACTAACCAGTATCCCAGTCATCCTTTCTGAGGGCAGTGACGTAACTGCCTTCCAGCAAGGCCATCTCCTCAATGTCCTACCATTCTGGACATTGCCACACAGAGGACCAGGCATCTAGTACATAAGCCCCCGGAGGACAAAACACATTCAGATCCTAGCAACAGCAAGCGCCAGTGTCCCAAGGTTGAAGAGCGCCTGAAACACTCAAAGGGCAGCAAGAAGTCCCCTGTGGCTGGAGCATAGTGAACGACATAGGAGGTTCTAAACGATGTCAGAGGGATAAAAAGGGAAAAGACTGTGTAGGTCCTTGGAAAACTTTCACCCTGAGTGACATGGAAAATCACTAAAGGTTTTGAGCACAGGGGTGACGTGATCAAAGGAACAGGATCCCCCTGGGCACTGAGGGAGTAGCTCTGACAGGGGTAGGGGCTGCAACAGAGGGAAGGACAGAGACAGGAATGGCAAGTAGGCATTTATTCCTGAAATCTGGTGTCATGGTCACACAGGCAATGACCAGAATTATTTGGTAAAAGATCTAAAGCACGGAGTCTATAGATAGGACAGCCTTTCCTAATACATCAAACATGATGTTTGAAACAGAAGAGTCCAGGCTGACTCTAAGATTTAAAACCTGTTATGATTTGAGTGTGCGCCCCCCCTTGCCGAAAGATACACGTATTGGAACCTTAATTCCTCAATGTACCAGTGTTGGGAAGTGAAGTCCAGTGGGAGGTGCTGGGCACATGGGGACAGAGCCCTCCTGGATGGATTAATGCTGTTCTCAGGTACCGTGGGAGTTTCCCCCTTCCCTCTTTTACATGTGCCAGCTAACCCTTCTGCTTTCTGCCATAACTTGAAGCATCATGAAGCCCTCACCAGAAGCCAAGCAGATTCTGGCACTTCCTTTTAGATTTCCCAGTCTCCCAAGCATGACACCAGACAAACCTCTTTCTTTATAAATCTCCTTTTCTGTAATAGCAACAGAAAACAGACTAAGACAGTACTCACGCAACTAGAAGAACATTTCCCTTAACTGAATTGGGACTTTTGCAATCATGGCTTAGAGAAGAAAAGAACAGAGTTGTTGGTACTATTCTTCCTCTTCCCTTTATAGCTATTGTTATTTTTACAATGAGAAGTAGATTTATCAATATTTTCACTGTATTTCTAGTCCTATCATATACTGTATCAGATTTTCTTCCCTTTTTTTCCTGGCAAATATGGAACAGCTGCATGCCCCATGATTTGCTCAGGACTTTTCATCTAGCTGGTCCCTTTGAAGATGTAATCGTGTCCCTTGGAGAAGCAGATGCATACTTAGCAAGCCCCTCCAATGTGGGCAGGGAACTCTGACTCTGACCCTTTGCTGCCAGAGTCCTACCATTTTTTCAATCCACCCAGGAAATACCTGCATGTGTTACGTCACTGTTCTTTGCTTTTTCTTCTTTTAGTTATTTTTCTTCCATTTATCCCAATTTTCATGAACCCTTTCGTCAGTTCTTCCACACTGACAAGACTTCCTGACCTCATTCCCACTAACTCTCCTATGACGCCTCTGTACCACAAAAGGTCCCCTGACTAATCCTTTTCCTCCAGTTTTCAGTTACAACTCTTTGCTGTAGGAAAAAGTCAGTTGATGTCTCTAGCTATGTTTGCTCCTTTGTGAAATAAATAAATTACTTTTGATTATCTTTAAAGATAGTTTCAGTTTTAACTTCTGACTCTGTATTTAACTTTTTAGTGGTTTTTTTTTTTTTTTTTGGTCTTATGTGGTAAATTTTCATTTCCTATCTAACTTACTTTCAAATCAAATCTCTCATTACTTCTCATCATTTCCAAAGTCCTGACTACTCTTTTTCACTGTTATTTCTTAGGCAAGTCAAATGGTGTTCACCTACAACATTAATATTGGTTTCCTAACTATGGTACAGAATAAGAAAAGAATAATGTTTGAAGTCTAAAAGAAAATGTCTTAGTTACTTTTCTCATTGCTGAGACAAAATATCGACACCCAAAGTTAAAGGATGAAAGGTTTATTTAGCTTATAATTTAAGAGGTTTCAGTCCATAATCAGCTGGCTCTGAGGCAGGGTGGCATGGCAGAGAGGCATCATAGAGGAAAAACAGTTCATGGGAGGGCGGGAAGCACTGAGACTCAAGGTGGGGCAGCCTTAATCCTAGCATTGTATTATGAATCAATACCAGCATCACATCCTTGATCCCAGCATCACACACCCTAGATCCAGCCATTTCTGAAAAGCCCCACCTATGACCACAAGGCTTTGGTGAGACATCTAGATACAAGCCATAACAGAAGATAACATGAGATAAATCTAATGATTTTCTCTAAGAAATCTGTGATTGAAAAGTTCTTTGGGGCTTAAAGTGTAGCTCAATGGTAGAACACACATTTAGTTTAAACCCTAGCACCCTCCCTCCAAAAGGTATTGTTAATGCCAGTGATAAGCAACTAATGACATCATACCTAATTCAATTTTTTCCGCATTCCAGAAGTTTTCATCCTCACTTCTTTGTGGTGCCCCTACCTTTGACTTTCTTTGTCATGAAATTGCTGATTTTTATAGTTCAATGAAAAAGTAAAGGTGACAAAGAAGAAATAATTTAGCTCAGCTAACTGCTCTTTTTACAAATAAAAACTCAGTTACATTCTTTCAAAATTTAGACTTCATTGATAACAAAATAATTCTGTTTACAAAGATCTGTTTAAATGTTTTAATTTAGCAAAAATTCCAGATGACTATGAAATAAGAGAGGATATTTCAAAACATTCTTTAACAGTCCTAAACTGATTCTATTTACCAGAGCAAAAAGGAACAAAGGAGAAAATCCACCCAAAAACCCTATTCTATAGTGGAAATTATATAGCATTCTTCTTAGATCCTAAAGAATTTCACACACACATACATTCTTACAAATATTAGTTAGAATATTCCATTTTCACGATTAAAATTTTACTTGACACTATGATTGTAAGTGGGTTCTCGAATACAATAGCTATTTCTAGCTATTTTTAGGAAGAGAGCTAGACTCCCAAACTCAATGCTAGTTTATAATTTTAACATTGTAAAATTGTGGAGAAATATTTCCTATCTAGCCTCCTGTGTCTCAAGCAAATGTCAGTTCCCCTGAGTGCTACCATTGTAAGACATCTCCCTCTACTCTGAGCTCTATTGGAGCTTGTGTCTTCTTAGCTCCATCCCTCCTAAATCAAAGTCTCTTATACCTATTAATGTGTATTTGTGAAAAAACAGAAAAATTAGCAAGCAATATAGTTTAATTTTTAAAAGTGTGGGCTTTGAGACAAACAAAACCAGCTTTGTATCTCATTTCATTTATTCAGCACGTGGCACAGGACAACTGATTTAACCTCTTTCAGCTTTAGCTTCCTCATCTTTTATGGAGACAATGAAACCTTCCTTGTACAGTACTATGAAGATGGAATTGGATAAAATGGTAACACATCTCATAGCACACAGAGGCTCTCAATTACAACATACTTTCCCATCCTATATTCTAACACGTCACTCAGTTCAGTCCTACATTACATCTGGTTGAACTCAGGTCTGTTTCTGGGCTGCAAACTTTTAAAGGCAAAGTCTTGCTCCTCTTTGTATTTCCCACAGAACCTGGGGGATGAGCTCCATATTCTGAGGCTACAGCAACTGTGTGTTGTGCTAAATTGAGGGCTGAACTAGGATCAGACTGAAGCCATGGAACAATGCTTCTGCAGATTCCGGCTCTTTTAGAAATACAGTTCCTCGCATGCCAAATTGGCCTTGAGATAACTCACCATGGTATAAATTAATTTGCACAAAGAAGAATTACTGCCCTAAATTCCTCAGTAACTTATCAGAACACTGTTCCATTTCTCACTGCTGCAGGGGTCAATCTTATCCCGAGAGGGACAAAACTGAATTCACTACTCTAAGCTGAAGAAACAAGTTCCTCTAGAGCTGGGGATTTAGCTCAGCGGTTCTGCCACCTGCCTTGCAAGTGGAAGGTCCCAAGTTCTATCCCCAGTACCCACCCACCCCACCCCCCAAAAAATAAGTTGTACTAAAAACAGAACTAAGTCAAATAAACTCGAGTTACCAACTCCACCTCATCTCTGATTACCCATGAGACTTTGGGGAAGCTACCTATGCTCATTAAACCTCAATTAAAGCAAAAAGATAATACTTTGTCACATGGGGTTGTTGGGTAGATAAGGAAGGTGATGCTTAGGAGTAGACTTCAACAACTATGAAACAGGATGCAAAATCAAAGCCAAGAAAGCCACTGCTTTGCCCCGTTGAGCTCTTCTGTCACATTCTAGGCTTCCGCCTTTATTCCCTCCTTTGGCAAATGAAGTTCAGTTCAATAGAAAAGCAGTGTGTGTGTATGTGTGTGTTGCGTGCATGTGTACACGTATAAGCATGCATACACATCAGTGATGAAAACCATATAACCTGCTGTCTTTTCTTCTGCATTTCAAAGAGTTAAAATGCACCTAGAAAGTGCTGTTATGAATCTACAACACAATCCATGCAGCAACTGTAAAGCAGGGGACTCTGACTGCAGCAGGGGACTGGGTACATCCTTTTCCAGTCTGACGCTAGAACTGTACTGCACAGCCCAACTGCTTGTGGTGTTTTCTCAGGTGTCAGTTACAGCTTCCTTTGTAAAGTATCTCAAAGGTACAGCCCAAGCAAAGCATAATAGACAGCCCCAGATGAAAGAGGCAGCCTAGAGCAGGACTGAACACCTGCAGTCCTTTCTGTTCAGGTAAGATCTTTGTTTCTAGGTCATTTGACTAACAGAACCTCAGGCTCTTTAAGAAACTGGGTGGAAGGGGAGGCAGGACGGCCAGCTACAGATTGCATATGGAAGAACGAAGCTTCCCAAACTTCTGGTAAAAGTCTTCTTGTGCCCGTCCCAGGGCCTCTTCATCAATGTACACGGCTGGCCTCTTGGCCATGAGGAAGTACTGCACCTTCCTCAGGTTCCAGCCCATCACGTACTGCAGCCACCCGCACACGGCCGCGGCGGAGCGGCCCACCCCGGCATTGCAGTGGACGTACACGGTGTGGCCATTCTCGAGAAGCATGTGCAGGAGGCACACGGCCTGGGGCAGCATCTGCACACGGCCTGGGAGGGAGAAAGCACAGCACAGACATGAGTAACGAAGCCTCCATGTCCCCCAGCTCACGGAGACACCATAGTGCCACGCAGGGTGAGACAGGGATGTGACACTGCTTCACTGCTTAATGTAAATGAAGAAGTGAGACAGGTTTCAAACCCAAGAGTAGTAGAGTGCAAAGAGCATTTCAGAGGCAATGGTCTCTCTGAATCCCCACTGGATATTAGTGCTCTTTTCAGTTACTTCACCCTGGGTGCAAATTTCCTTCCAAAGAGAAGTCAAGTACCACCTATTGTCAGAAGAATGGATTTTTACACCTGTCAGAAGGGCTTGCAGAGATCCAGCCATGACTTCAAAAGATGTCAAAGGAAATTGGTTAAATCCTGTCACCTGAATTTCATTTCATTCAAATGTCCTTCCAAATAAATGTAAAACAAGAAGTAAGTCCATATTGATTGAAGAATCGATCTTTTTCATTGATTGGATAAATGCAATATGAAGCAGAATCTAATATGCTAATTTTCATTTGGCTTAGTGGAATGGCTAACTCAGAGCTGACACATACGGGATAATGGATCCCATCACAATACAGTGAATTCAGAAACTGATTACATTTCTGTCTTTCAGGGCAATCATGACTATAGTTATTGCCGGTTTCTGACTGCTGGTTTGATTATGAGATTATCCAAATGTCTTCCCCTGAGGGGACATGCGATGTCCTGCTGAGCATGGGAGAAGCATCCCACAGTTGTCCTTGTGCTACTGGGTGCCCAGTGCTGCTTCTGCCCCTAGGTCTCACTGCAGAGATATTTAGTGAGTTAGGATTTTTATTTGGTTGGTTGATCTGGAGGGTGGGGGTGATCTTCCGAAGGGAAGGAAAGAGGGAAACTCTAGAGTCCTGGGTTGTAACTATGTGCTTATACCATGGCATTGCCTAGATACTCTCCGTCCTCCACAGAGGGGCACAGTGCCAGAGAAGGATCCTCCAAGGACCGTGGATCCCCATTTCCGTCCCCTTGGGTGACGAAGGGTCTCACCTGCAGATCTTCTCTGACGCTTGCAACTGTCTCACGAGAGCCACTCCAGTAACTTTAGCCTCCCCTCTTTTAATGTCCCCTTTTGAAATGCAAGTGCCCCCAAAGAGCCAAGACAACACACCGGGTCAGGTACAACACCATGGAAGGACAGACTTCATCAAGGAACGCACTGTGGCCTAAAGGCCACCTCAGTCACCATCTCCCAGCTTTGCATGCACAGTGCTCGGAGACAGGTGCAGAGAGGCTGCAGGACGGCAGAGTACCATTCTGGTCTTGCTGCCCATGCTCGGTGAGTCCCTCATGGAGACTTCTAAGCTCCAGGTGGCACCTGGCAGTTTAGGAATGTTTCCACAGGAGTGTGTTTAGGTAGGAAACACTCCTCAGACCCCTCTGTCATTCTCTCCCTCATGCCTGCTGCTGTACTTCCATGCTCTCGCCTGGTCCCTCAGGACATCTGACTTAGGGACACACCTGCTCCATGTGCATCGTGATCTCTTACATCCAAACTGGGCCGTGAATTTTAATTCATCTAGATCTGCACATCTGGCTTCAGGGTGCTCTACGGGTAGGGCTGAGTGAGCTGGCCTTGGTCACAGTGCCCCTCTAGAGGTAAGATACATCCTGGAGACGCAACAGGGTACAGAGAGTGTCAGATGTGCCAGTGAGGTGCCTCACACTGGGACAGCACTGCGAGTTGGATCCAATTTGTTTCAGGAGACCAGAGGAGGCAAAGCCCCCAAGGTGTGTGTGACTGGCCTAGAGAGGGGTGCCACCTGCTCAACTGTAGAGCTTCTGTCCATGAGGCAGAGTGACGGGTTTGCGCCAGAGATTCCAGGTGGGAAGAGAATCCTACTGACAGCTCTGTGATGCATGGCTTTATCCTGCTTCTGCCATCACCAGCATTAGTTGACAAGTTGGCTGCCAAGGCTGCCTCTCCAAATACTATGTACCTTGGCAGGAAATAAATAAGAATGTTCTTAATGTAGGGTTTCATCAAATGTCCACTCTAAGAATAAAACACAGTGCCCACTGGCAGTAGGAGCCGCTGGACTCATCTTACACAGCACCTGTGTGCCCACGGTACACATGAGGTCTTCTACTGACCCGGGTGAGCAGCTTTTCTAGTGCTTCCAGGCAGAAGGTCGCCAAGGACAGGTCTGCTCTGAATAGCCTAATGATTCACTTCCTTCCTCTCTCTCCTTATCTGTTAGAGGTTATTCAAGAGGCACATGTGCGCTTTACAGGTTAAAAAGGGAAACATGAGCCTGATCTCAGATGTATCCTTCTGAAAGCTCAGCTGCCTCGTGAAGACTCCAAAGGCCCCGGCTTCACACCAGCTTCACCAATGGGACACAGGCACAGGCCGCCTTCTCCCAGAACCGCTGGGCCATCCCACCAAAGGACCATGACATATTTAAGCTACATAGCACATAAATAATTATGAGGGACTGCAAAAAAGGAGCCACCGCTCGGTGTCTACCCGTCTCAGCCTGGTCTCAGCTGGAGCCCTTGTTTATTCTGACCTCTAGTGACTGACGGCACCCTGCTTTGACTGCTGACAAGTAACATTCACTGAGCCCTTTCACCTGCTGTTCTAAACATTCTGCATGAAGCGGCTCATTTACAACCACTGTTTAACAACTATAAGGCCAGTGCTAGTTTTTTTCTCAATTTTTATATGAAGGAAGTAAGGCAGAGGTTTGCCCAGAGTTATTCCCTGAGTACCCACTTGAACCCAGCCACTTTCTCTCACATCTCCGATCTGACTGCTGTACCGTGTTCCTTCCCTAAGTCCCTGGTTTCTGGAACTTGCCATCCCCGTTCTGTTGGTCTGAACTCTGAATCAGTCCCCGGTGCCTACTTACCTGCTCACGCTGTTGTTTCTGCTCCTGTGTAAGTCACATCCTCCCTGAGCTGTAGCATCTCTGCCCTTACCCTAGAGGAGCTCTCTGCACCCAACAGGCCCATATCCTGGCATTGAAATCCATTTTAAGGAGCCTGAGCTAATACGTAACTCACCGAGGGACAACAGGAGGGACCCTGGGTTGGGGCTCACCATGAAACACCCTGCACAACAGAGTCAGCATCAACCAGGGCACCTAAATTCTAGGTTTCCTATGTATAGGCTCCACATATAACTTAATTTAATATGAAGTTTACACTGTTAAAAATAGCAATACCTTAAGATAAGGCAAAAATCCAGATCTTTTTATGTAAAATATTTTAGATTTTAAATCCTGGCAACTAAGTTGAGAAACTAAAACCTATGTAGGTCAAACAAAACCTTCTACCATCTGCGTTTCTCATTTTGGAATTTAAAACAAGCCTTGGATCTCAGTAGCTGCTCAACAAGCACCCATTAAGTGCATAGATAAAAACAAAACAACAGCGAAACAATACCACCTATCTGAGTTACTTCTAGGCCCTCTAATCTAATTTGTGGTCCATTCTTGCTCCAGACTAATCCAACTCTGGAATTATTAGAAGCATCCTGCAAGCATGCACCATCATGTCAAGGTTGTGATAAGAAGTGATGAAGCATTTTGGTAGGTCATTTGGAGCAAGCTGAGGCATTGGAGCCTGAGGTAGGGAAGAAGAAAAAAGTTCTTTATAGGTATGCTGTATCTAAGGATGACAGTGGAAGAAATAATTCATGGTGCAATTTTCAGCCTTTCCACCCCCACATACACACACCTTTTTCCTTACTCCAAGGGCAGAATATGTTATTTTGTTTGGGCATATATTCTTTTTCATCTTTGGAGTGTATTACAGATAAGATTCATTTTTATCTACAAAATCATTTGATATACTCTTAAAGACCTGGGATGAATCTTATAGCTCCAACTTTGTGATTTTCAAAGCCTTTTTATATCAAGTGTCTTATTCTAGTGCTATAAACCAGTAAAATAGAAAGTACTATCCCCAGGCCGGGGATTTTGCGCAATGATTTCACCACCTGCTGCGCAAGCGCAAGGAACTGAGTTTGATCCCCGGTACCGGGAAAAAAAAAGAAAGAAATTACTATCCCCTGTTTTCTGATGCAGGAACTAGCCTGCCAATGTCACACAGCCACCAGGTAAAGATAAGGCTGGAGCCCTGATATTCTGACTCCAAGATCAGTGTCTTTAACAACAGCAGTGCTTGGACCGGGGATTTAGCTCAGTGGTTTCGCCGCCTGCTGCGCAAGCGCAAGGACCCGAGTTCGATCCCTGGTACCAAAAAAAAAAAAAAAAAACACAACAACAACGGCAGTGCTGAATTCAGTCTGCTGAGTGACAGGAAAGAACTGAGATTGTGACTACAGAGAGGAGGCTAAGGATTTCAGAAGGGGCACTCCCTCATTCGGGAGGACAGCTTAAATCATCTTCCACACACAGCACTGCATGAGCACGGGTTACTGCTCAGTCTGAATCCTTTCTATGTGCAGGATATTTGAATGAGTGGATTCGGTTCATTTTCTTCAAGGGAGTGTTGGATTTCGGAGATGTTCATTTCTCAGGGGAAAGAAACAAACCAAACTTTAAAGAAAGAAAAAAATAAAAAATCTAAACCACCCCTCTGCGTGTGACAAAGTGTAGAAGAGCAGGAGCCAACAGCACAATCGATTATAACAGGTCTGTGACAGCTGGTGGTGACAGTCGCGCCTAAAAGACTATCTCCTTTCTCAGACTTGATCTGACAGCATTATGCTGTGGCTCAAAGTGCTTCCGAATGGATTTTTCCTTCTAGAATTCTAAAAGTATTCAGCTAGATTAATCTATATATTCACTGTGCTATTATTATAAACCACACAGATTTATCTATTGGTAAAATGTTCACCCGTCACTCAGGAGTGGATGTTAACAGATTACTCCTCCACATTAGGCTCAACCAAAGAAATTCTTTATTTTGGTCTCCTGGTTTCGCTGTCTCAAGTGGCAGTTGTCCTTGTGCAGTCAGCCAGGCTGTGGAACTGCCTCTGCATGCAAGGT